GTAGATGGAAGATCTCTCTCTTTCTGTCTCTCCCTCTGTCTCTCTGTAATTCTGCTTTCAAGCAAATAAACAAATTTAAAAAAAGAAAAAAGAAAAAAATAACAGTTTGAGTTGTGTGGGTCTACTGATGATTTTTAAATCCTCATTTCTCTTTTAATAGATCTAACATTTAGCAGAAAATATTGTATTGTTTTTAAAAGTATCACCCTGCATAATATCCTCAGCTCTTCCAATATAACTACTAGAGTTTTAATAGCCAAAGAAAGTGGCAGATAAAAAGGTTAAAGCTCTGGAATGTTATTTTGCACAGATTCATGTAGATGTTTCAGCAGCAAAGAGAGCATTTATTACTGCTGTGTCCCTTCATTTTTGGTTCTTTCATATTTTTTGTCATTGTAGCTCTTTTTTTTTTTTTATTTGACAGGTAGAGTTATAGACAGTGAGAGAGAGAGAGACAGAGAGAAAGGTGTTCCTTCTGTTGGTTCATTCCCCAAATGGCCGCTATGGCCAGCGCTGCACCAATCTGAAGCCAGGAGCCAGGTGCTTCTCCCTGGTCTCCCATGCGGGTGCAGGGACCCAAGCACCTGGACCATCCTCCACTGCCCTCCCGGGCCACAGCAAAGAGCTGGATAGGAAGTGGAGCAGCCAGGATGAGAACCTGGCACCCATCTGAGATGCTGGCGCCGCAGGCAGAGGATTAACCAAGTGAGCCATGGCGCCGGCTCTTTTTTTTTTATTCATTTTCATCCCTTCACACACACCCTCTTTCCCCAATCCTTTCCCCATTCTTTCATTTTCCACTTCCCATTTCATTATTTTAACTTTCTTTTTTTCTTCTCTCAGGTTTTTCTATTCTTTTTTTTAAAGATTTATTTTATTTATTTAAAAAACAGTTACAGACAGTGAGAGGGAGAAACAGAGAGAGAGGTCTTCCATCCATATGGTTGCAATGGCCAGAGCTGCGCCAATCTGAAGCCAGGATCCAGGGGCTTCTTCTGGGTCTCCCACGTAGGTGCAGGGGCCCAGGGACTTGGGCCATCTTCTACTGCTTTCCTAGGCCATAGCAGAGAGCTGGATCGGAGGAGGAGCAGCTGGGACTAGAACTGGTGCCCATATGGGATGCCGGTGCTTCAGGCCAGGGCTTTAACCCGCTGTGCCACAGTGCAGACCCCTGTATCTCTATACTTTCTTTTTCTCCTCTCCTTTTCTTCTTTTGCTTAACTATTTGTCTTCCATCTTGCCCTTTGTCTTTCCTTCTTTTACATTTCCTTTTTCACTTCTTTTTAGCTCTCCACTTTCTTCCCTTCCTTATTTTACCAAGTCTCTTTCTTTCTTTTCCTTTGGTTATATTTTCCTCCTTTGTACCTCGTTTCTCTCAATTTCCATCCCTTCTTT